TATTTCCAATATTGCGATCCTGTGTAGTGCCTTGATTGGACTCTCTGACCTACTTCATAAAATTTGTCAAATTTTGTTTGTACGAAATTGGAGTTCGTTTTTGTGAAATTTCTAATAAGATCTTATTTTGTTCTAATTTTTCTCTGTAAAAATATTTCTGCTGGTGTATTTCCATTAGCCAAAGGAGTAGCTCTATATTTAAACAAGATAGCCTGTAGTTTTTGGTGTATTGTTCCGGGTTCATTAGACATACAGTTTAATTTATCTTTTAATGTTTGGCAGTAGCGTTCCACTTGCCCATTTGTTGCTGGATGGCCAGGGGCTATAAATCGTTGAACTATTCCATTTCTATGACAATATTCCTGGAATTCATCGGATTTGAATATTGGACCGTTATCGCTAACTAATATCTCGGGCAACCCAAAACGACTGAACATTTCTCGTAGATGATTGATAGTACTAGAGGTGGTCGGGGGTTTAGAACACATCATAACTTCTGGCCATTTTGATCTGGCATCAACAGTAAGTAAAAAAAAATGATTTAAAAATGGACCAGCATAATCTATGTGAACACGTTGCCAATTACTCACTGGAGGTTCCCAGTGATGGATAGGTGCTTTTACAGGATTTTTTTTTAATATTACAACACTCTTTACAATATTTCACTATATTTTCGATGTCAGAATCAATACCTCTCCAATAACAGTGATTACGAGCTAAATTTTTCATTTTTACGATACCTATGTGTGTGGTATGTAATTCTTTTAATAAGGCTGATTGAAGTTTCTTCGGAATGATAACTCTGTTCCCTCTAAATAAAATTCCGTCCTGCAGGGAGAGTTCTGGGTCACGAAGTGTTCCTATCGAGATAGATTTCTTTAGTTTTATAAGCTCAGGATCACGGTTAGTTTCTTGTGCTATTTCTTTAGCTGTAATTGTGTCTGTTGAAATTTAATTTATTGTATGTATGTTGAGTAAATGTACCTCGTCCACGACTCTTTCTTCATCTTTTTTGTATTTTATAGGATTTCTAGAGAGATAATCGACGTTGACGTGATCTGAAGATTTTCTATATTCGATGGAGTAGTCGAAACCAGAGAGAAATTGAGCATATCGTATCATTCTTGTAGCTGTTAGAGTTGGCAATTGTTTTGATGGATTAAATATTGTCAATAATGGTTTATTATCTACAATGAGTTTGAATTTCCTGCCATAAATATATTGAAAAAGCTTTTTAAAAGACCAGTAAATTGCTGTTGCTTCTCTATCGAGCTGACTGTAATTTCTTTCAGCCTTTGATAATGATCTGGATATAAAAGCAACAGGTCTTTCTGTGCCATCTGGTAATTGATGTGAAAGCACTCCGGATATCCCATGAGGACTTGCATCTGTGACAAGAATAACTAGATATTCTGGTGTGAAAGGCATAAGAACTTGATCACCAGCGATTTCGGCCTTAGCTTTTCTAAAGGCGGTTTCGCATTCTTTAGTCCAACGAAATTTTGCATCTTTCCGTAGTAAATAGTTTAATGGATAATGAATTTCAGAAACATTTCTTATAAATTTTGCATAATACATACTACTAGCCCTAAAAATTGTTGAACTTCTTCGACATTTGTTGGAGTTGGAGCATTTAATACAACTTTCACCTTGTCTTCAGATTTTTCCAAACCTCTTTCTGATATCACATGTCCTAAATATTTGATTTTTTTTTCTAGAAATTTGCATTTATTTTTGTTAAGGTGTAGATCGTATTCTCGTAACCTTTGTAATACTTTGATTAGTCTTGATTTACACTCTTCCACAGTTGACCCCTGTATCCAGATATCGTCAAAATATACTGTAGTACCTTCTAAATCTTGAACTATCTGATCAATAATTTTGTGGAATTCATTTGGTGCTGTTTTTATACCAAAAAATAGACGCTTAGCGATATAAGTTCCTCGGTGAGTTGAAATTGCTTGAATTTTGGAACTTTCTTCATCAACTGGTAAGTGCAAATATGCCTTGAATACATCTAATGTACAAAAATATTTACCATTTTGCATTTTATTGAAAATATCTTCGATTTCTCGACTGTCACCTTGTAATCTGCACAGATTCTTATTTTTCCATCAGGTTTTGGAATGATAACCAGTGGCGTTCCCCATTCAGATAGATCTTTTTTTTTTTTCAATAATACCTTGTTGCTCTAGAGAATCCAGTTTCCGATCCTGTAGAGCATATGGAATTTTTCGAGGTCTAAAGAAAATTGGTTTAGCTTCAGGTTTCATCAATAGGGAACATTTATAATTGGGTATTTTCCCTACTTCTTGACAAAATACGTCTTGAAAATCTTGTAATATATCATCTAATGAATTAAGTTTTGGAGAATTTAAAGAAATCAGGCCTACATCATTGAAATTGATATTGAATTTCCTAATCCAACTTCTTCCCATAATAGGGCTTCCATAATTAGGTACAACATACAAGTCGCCATTCTGTTGCTTATCTTTGTAGGACACGTTAACTTCCACAAAACCCAAGGGTTGATATACGTGTTTAGTATACGATCGAAAATAAATGTCGGTCCTTTTTAGGGGAAGTTTAAGATTTAACTGTTCGAAATCTATTTGTGATATTATAGAGACCGGACTGCCTGTATCACATTCAAAAGTCCAAGGTTTCTTATTAATTTGTAGTTCAACCATAAATTTGGGCTCGTTAATTTTTGTAGAAGTTCTGTTAAAGATATCGACAATTTGATTTATCGTGAAGTATTCACTGGTATCTGAAAAATCTGAGTCATAGTCAATATTATGTATGTTCGTATTTTGATTTAATTTATTCGTAATACGAACATTCGAAATGTGCCCTTTCTTTTTGCATTTTAGGCAGCGAAGTTGGTTATAAGATGTGCAGTCTTGGGTCTTGTGATTTCTTTTCCCACATCTTAAACATTTGCCATCGAGTCCTAATTTTTGAAAATTTATGGTATTCTTTCTCCTCTTTGCTGGGTATTCAGTTTGATGTTCTTTTGATCTGCTATCGTTTTGTCTTCTTCCAAAATTTGGGAATACGGCTTTAACTTTTTGAACAGTAGACGTCGAAGCACACTTATAGTCTTCTCTATTCTGTATTTTTAAGCCTCAATCGAATAAGCAATTTGTAACATTTTGTCTAATGAGATATTTGAATGCTGTTAAATTTTTTCACGAATTTCTGTGTCATTCAATCCTCGAATGAACTGTGCCCGCAGAAGAAGATTGATAACGGATCCTGCACATTTTTGATCATTACATTCGGTTTTTATGTCACACGTCTTGATTAGCTCTTTTAATGCAGCAACGTATGTAGTTAATGACTCACCAGGATTTTGGGTTCTTGAGAGAAATTTGTGTTGTTCCGTCAATATGTTCCTTTTGGGAGTAAGGTGGTTTCTTAAAAGGGTTATTAACTTTGTATAGTTTTTGTCTGCTGGAAGATCAGGAGCTGTTAAACTTGAAAGGAGCTTATAATGTTTACTTCCTAGGCAATTAATCAGAACCATTACTTTAGCTTCATCTGTTTCAGGCTCATCTTTATTAAGTCCTTTGATTTTGAAAAAAATTTCTAGCCTCTGATGATAACTGTCGAAGTTTTCGGAGGTTTCATCAAAATGTTCGAAGGTTAAAATCTGTGTCTGAAGAAGATCTTTGACTGTATTTGAACGTTGTTGTAGATTATTTATTAGGGCACTTAGAGCATTTACCAATGGTGTTTGATCTTCTGCTGAAGTTGTTGACATAATGCAGCTTAGTATCGTGCAAACCTTATTTACCAGCGTCGCCAATATATTATATATGAATAAATATATTAATATTGCTTGTAAAAGAACTTTATTTTCTCTGACATTTTTTACGTCCTCGTTGACAAGTATATATAAATCAATGTTTCTTGTTATAATACAAAGTGATTTATGAGTGATTTATTTTTAATACATAATACTAGGCCTAGGTACTTTTTTATTATAATTATACCATACAAATCGGGCATCACTAGTCTGGGGCTGTTTAATCAACCCCATAAAAACTGCTGTATGCATCACTTCATACTATATTTCCTTAGTTCATGTTTATGTAACATAAATCATGTTTGTATTATAAATTCAAAATATGTCTTAAAAATAAGGGTATCTACATCTAGATACCTCTTTATGTTATTATTTTAGGTTCAACAATTTCAATACTTCACTGGCACAGAGCTTTCGTCAAATGCACTCAAACTAATGAAATGGAAATGAACAGGAAATTACTTGTTTTCATACCACGTGCATCTCGTAATTACGCATTTAAAAGAAAATGTAATTGTAATTTGAAAAAGTAATTGTAATTGGAAAAGTAATTGTAGTTATAAGAAGTAATTGTATTTAATCAATTCAAATAACATAATTACAAAGTACAATTCCTCCACAGATTTTGCTGAAATTGCAATTCCAACATACTTTAAAAAAAGTACCTAATTATAAATTACATGAAAAAAGTATTTGTATTTATTAATTAGTTTTTAAGTAGGAATTGCCCACCTCTGCTCTATATATTATTACTATGTGTTTTCAAACTTAAAAATAACAATCTTAACAAAAAAAAAAAAAAATGGAACGAAAATAAACTTAGACGGTAAAGTACCTGAAAGTATGATCATTTAGGGGTGCTCTGTGCTCTAATCTCACTTATGAACTCAGATGGCTGAATCTAAAAGTAAAATACATAGAACATAGGAATATTTTCCTAGTGTTGAAATTATAAAAAAAAACTTAACTAATGGAGCTACCTGGAGCCATAGTGGGTTGCTTTAATTTCAAACTATTTTAAGTTTTGTCGTTAAAATTTTTTAATTTCGTAGTTTTGTCCTAATTTTATTATTTTCTAAATTTTGTAATTCGAACTTTGTTATTCCAACTTATTTCACCAACTCGTCGTATTAAGTTCATTATTATCATCATTTGAAAAATTTGTATTCACTTATTATTTTTATTTCAGTAATATTGCTGATGTTAGTGGGCTGTACCTCCTTCGGATGGGCTTCCCCCGCAGTCATCAAACTCAAATCGGAGAATCCAGAAGTAAACCCATTAGGGAGACCCATAACGACTGTTGAAATATCAGTATTGGCAGGTATGCCAGTTCTGTCATCGCTCATCGGATCTTACATGATACCAAGATTGGCTGACATTGTAGGAAGAAAAACTAGTCTACAAATAACAGCGATTGGTATGTTCGCTAGCATAGTTGGTATAGCTTTCAGTTCCAAAATCTACTTATTAATTATATCTTGTGCCATATTATCCAACTTATTTGCGGGAACTTGGGGAATCCTTCCAATTTATCTAACGGAAATCTGCGAGGACCACAACAGGACTAAATTCGGCTGTCTAATGTCAGCTTGTATACCTCTAGGCCAGCTCTACTGCTACGTTTTCGGACCACCGTTCAGCCTTAAATATTTTACACTGATTACTGCAGCTCCATTACTGCCTTTTTTTGCATTATTTTTATTTGCTCCTGAGAGTCCCGTCTACTTACTAAGCAAAGGTAAAAAGGAAGACTGTATGAAAGCGCTGATGAAATTGAGAAGGAACAAATCAAAGACTGAATTAGAGATCGATTTCGATAGAATTAAATTAAGTTTAAGAGATACTATGGATACAAAACCTGATTTAACTGCACTGGTTAAAACAAGAGAAAGTAGAATTGGATTATTAATATCAATGATGCCAGTTTCTGGACAGTATTTGTGCGGGGTTCCAGTAATGATGTCGCTACTAGCACCGATTTTTAATGAATCCAGTACTTTACTGTCTGGAAATATGATCGCTGTGATAGTTGGTGTGGTTAAGCTTCTAACTTTTATTATTACCTCTTCTATTATTGAAAAAACGGGAAGAAAACCAATGTTGGTATTATCTTCTGTAGGATCGGGTATATCAACTTTAGTAATAGGATTATATTTCTATTTAAAATATATCAATTCAGTATTTATTGAAAAACTTCAATGGTTACCAATTGCATCTGTTTTCTTGTATATAATTTCGTACTCTCTAGGTCTTGGACCCATTCCTCAATGTGTTCCAAGCGAGATGTTCCTTCCTCATCAAAGATCAACAGCTCAAGCATTCATCAGTGCTTACGCGAACGCTCTTTATGCCTTCTATTTATTCGTTTATCCTCTTTTAGCTGAAGCAATAGGAAGTTATTCTTGTTTTTGGATATTTAGTGGTACTTGTTTCGCAGGGGCAGTTGTGTTTTATTATGTCATGCCGGAGACCAGAGGAAAAAGTATTCTTGAAATTCAAGAAATGTTGAAGAGGTACTAGTGACAAAGATGGTAGCTGATGTATCGGATATAATGACACAGTACAAGGCATAAATATGGACACAAATAGAAAACGTTTTTATTGTATGTTTTATTGTTTATAAGAGTACCTACTTGTATTTGATCCTAAAATGCACTTACCAAAATGTAAATATATCCTTTCGTTCTAAGGGAGGATCTTCCAAATATAAAATTTGTAACTTTACTTTTCAGAATACAAAAATATTCTGAATAATGTTAGTAATATAATTAATAAATGTTAGTTTATCAGAAATTGTTACGCTCAGTATTTTGTATGCATGTACTTTAAAATATATTTTTGTTATATTTTTGTAAACATTATTTTACAATTTATTATTTTTATTAAAATAAACCAATAATACAAGAAATTATTAATAATAATATTAAATAAAAATTTCGTTGCTTTCAAAAAGCACTTAATTGGTTTCAAATTGTTGATTTAATTTTTTTATATTTTCATATTAGAATTTTTAATCTAGCTTATTATTTGTGCCTCGCAGATATTTTCAAACTTTGGCAAGTTAAATAATTACTTTTTTAAATATAAAATCTAAATTCGAAATTTAAAAATGTCAAATTGACCTGAGACAAATAAAAATATATACAATACAGGGTGTTTAATAATTGAGTGCTGATACTTAAGGGTGTGAATCCTTAGGTGATTTTAAGAAGAAAAGTTAATATCAACATATGTCGTAACTCACTTAATTTTTGAGCTACAGGGTGTTACAGTTTTAAGAAAAAAATTACTTTTTTATCATAATTTTTTTATCACTCCAGATATTTCTATGAAATTTTGTACCCATGTTTTAATAATTAAGGAGCATTTTTTGACGTATAAGATTTTTTTAAATTTTTACCAGTGACGTCCGTACGGGGTTTGAACTGAATATTTTTGAAGAAAAAAATGGAACGCCACTGCTTTTTCTGAAAACCAAAATTATTTTTGAAATCACCATTTATTTTGGCAAACTTGGCTTATAGACTTACTTTCGTACGATGCACCGTTTTCGCGTAAAAAAATAAAAACCATTGTAGTGGTTGGTCAAATTTTTTCCTCAAATTCATTGATACCTACTGCTTTTGATATTTTGTTGAAATCTGATGAGCACCCACCATGCGTGGAAATATTTTTTTGGGACAAAAATTAATTTTCTACGTTTTGAATAGAAAAAAATGGTAAGCGCATTATTGCCTCTTAAAGCAAATGAAATAAACATTAGTAGGCTGGGTAAAGCGTCATCATTTTTGACGTTTCTTTTCATAAAGACAATAAAGTTGACATTGATTTTACATTATTAAATAATTATTATTAGAGTAAGAGTTAAAATCTGAAAAAAATGGTAAATTTTACGAACAGTGAATTAGCTGACATGCATTTTAGTTATGGGCTTGCAGACGGAAATGCATACGAAGCCAGACGGATATACCAAGAGCGGTATCCAAATCGCGTACTACCCGATCCGAGAACATTTTCTAGGATTCATAGACGTCTTCACGAGACCGGAACTTTAAAAGTAGACCACAGGGCTAAAGGAGTCCATCAAACAGTAAGAACACCGGAACTTGAAGAAGGAATTTTACATGAAATTGAGGAGAACCCCGAAACTAGCACGAGGAGAATCGCGTCAACATTTAATGTTTCACATGTACTTGTTTGGAAAATTCTCATCGAAAATTTGTTATACCCATATCACATTCAAAGAGTCCAGGCATTACTCCCTAGAGATTTCCCGTTGCGCATTAATTTCTGTGAGTGGTTTCTTCAAAAACTGCTGGAAAATCCATTATTTGATAGGCACATTCTTTTTACCGATGAAGCTAATTTTTCTCGAAACTCAATAATAAATTTCCATAATAACTATTTATGGGCGGATGAAAACCCTTATACAATTGTTGAGTCAAATCATCAAGAACAGTTCTCATTAAATGTTTGGGCTGGCATTATTGATGATTATTTGATAGGCCCATTTTTTCTCCCAAGAAGACTTGATGGACAATCATATTTACACTTCCTTGAAGATGATCTGCCACCAATGCTTGAAGACCTTCCTCTTTTATTGAGAAACCAGATGTGGCTAATGCACGATGGTGCGCCTCCACATTTTAGCTTACGAGTGCGTGAATTTTTAAATCACACCTATCGCAATCGGTGGATAGGTCGCGGAAGAACGCAGTCATGGCCGCCTAGATCTCCCGACCTTAATAGTTTAGACTTCTTTTTCTGGGGGCATCTGAAAAGCTTAGTGTACGCAGTGCCGATTCAAACCGAAGAAGAGTTACGAAATCGTATAACAGTCTGCTGCAACCCATAAGAAACACCCCAGGAATCTTTGAAAATGTGCGTCAGTCTATGCGAAGAAGAGTAGATGCTTGCATATGTGTGGGTGGAGGACATTTCCAACAATTACTGTAAATAATTTGGGTTCTTTATTTTGTTTGTATTCTCTTGTAATTTTGTTTTAGATTCAAGATTTTGAATTTTCATTTTACTATAAATAAATCCCGATTTTTAAAATACATAGAATTTAAAAAAATCAGAGGTGTACGTTTTTTTTTCTATCCAAACATTCAATATGATGCCTACGTGGCCGTCACTGGTGGAAGTAGAAAATTAGTTTTTGCCCCAAAATAAGTGTTTTCACGCATGGTGGGTGCCTACCAAATTTCAACAAAAACTCAAAAGCAGCTTAAGAAAAAAAAAATTTGGTTTTTATTTTTTTACGCTAACACAGTGCATCGTACGAAAGCAAGTCTATGGGCCAAATTTGCTCAAAAATAAATGAATATTTAAAAAATAATTTTGGATTTTAGAAAAAGCAGTGGCGTACCATTTTTTTGTTCAAAAATATTCAGTTCAAACCCCGTACGGAAGTCACTGGTAAAAATTTAAAAAAATCTTATACGTCAAAAAATGCTCCTTAATGATTAAAAGGTGTTTACAAAATTTCATAGAAATATCTGCAGTGATAAGAAATTTATGAAAAAAAATATATTTTTTTCTTAAAACTGTAACACCCTGTAGCTCAAAAATTAAGAGATTTACGACATATGTTGATATTAACTTTTCTTCTTAAAATCACCCAAGGATTCACACCCTTAAGTATAGGCACTAAATTAATAAACACCCATTTTTTATACGATGGTAACGTAATTTATCCATATACAATGAATCATGATTTTTTGCACAATACAATAAAATGGCAGTAGAGTAATCAACAAGAAACAAAACTACGGACGCATAGAAGCTTTAAACATTTTAACCAAGATTCTTTTCAGGTAGATTTGTTTAATATTTCATTTTTTAGAATTTATGACCAAGAAAATGTAGATGAGAAATTATCATTCCTTGTTAACTGTTTAAATGATCTTTTTAATAGAAACATTCCTTTAGTTACATCTAGAGTAACTAAAGCAAAGGCACCGTGGTTAACAGATGTCATTAAAATTATGATGCATGAAAGAAATAAAGCGCTAACAAGATTTAAGAAATATAAATCACAGCGAGACTTAGATTTTTATAGACAGATGCGTAATCTTACTAATCAAGCTATTCAAAGAGAGAAGAAAGCATATTTTATTCACCAATTTAACAATACTTCTTCCAAAGAAATGTGGAGGACACTAAAATCTAATAAATTTATCCCTGATAAAAATAATAGCATCCCTGAAAATTTACATAAACCTGTTGAGTTAAATAAATTCTTTATAGAATCAATTCCAAATAAAAAACCAGATGATAATTTACTTGCATTTTACAATAATAATAGTCCAGGATCCGTAACTAAGGTCGACCTTCACTCATCTGTTTACCGGATGAAAGTTTTTTTTATTAAATAAAATATGTTTTTAAATATACCGCAAAAGGGTTGCCTAAAAAAATACGGTCACGGCCATTTTTTACTTTCCTCTCTGTGTACAGATAAGGAAAGTATAGTAATCATGATAAAAGTTGTTTACGATGTCAGTCTCTATTATTTTGTTTCTATATATGATTTTTCTAAAATGGACCTAATTTGAGATATTTGATGAAAAGTGCAAATTTCGAATTTTGAAGATAACTCAAAAACGGATGAAGAGAAAATCACCAAATTTTGAACTTAAGCTTTAATCTATCCTGCGATGACCTGATTAAAGTTTAGGCGCAGTCAAAGCATTTGGGGAATACTTTATAGGGTGTCGTTTTTTTACTTTAAGAAAATAAATAGTCTGGACCGAATTTTCTTAGGCAACCCATTTGCGGTATATTTAAGAACATATTTTATTTAATAAAAAAAAACTTTCATCCGGTAAACAGATGGGTAAATGTCGACATTATTTCGGATCTTAGACTATAATAAATTAGTTGATCATAATTTCAAGTTTATAGAAATAAATGATTTGTTTGTGTATAAAGTTATATCTGAAATTAAAACAAATGCAAGATAATGTGACGACATAAACATAAAATTTATTAGACTTTGCTGTCCTCACATTGTGCCTTACATTACCCATATAATAAATTTTTGCTTGACAGAAAACGTTTCTCCAGCAATGTGGGAGAGAGCGATTGTGAGGGTATTACCTAAAAAACAAAGCCAGATCGAAATGAAAAATCTAAGAGGAATCAGTATTTAATCAACACTTTCAAAAATTTTTGAGAGGGCTGTTGAGGTCCAAATAAAAGAATATACTGAACGCTTTTCTTTGTTGCCCACTGTTCAATCTGGCTTTCGTAAAGGATACAGCTGCATGATATAATAACTGCTACCGATGACAAAAAATTTACAATTCTGATATTATTAGATTTCAGCCGAGCGTTTGATACTATCAGTCACGACTTAATGATAAGTATTTTGAAGTATATTGGATTCACTCATAACGAACTGGAGCTAATGAGTAGGTATTTAAATGGTAGGCAACAAAAAGTCTGCATAGGGGATTGCAGCTCAGATTTCTTAAATCTTCAGTCAGGAGTACCACAGGGCTCTATACTTGGTCCTTTATTATTTTCCATTTATACTTCTCAACTATTGTTTAACCTTTAATCATGTCATGCACATTTATACGCTGACGACACTCAAATTTATTATAGCTTTCCAGCAGAAATGAGCAAAAATGCATGTAATCTAGTCAATGTAGAATTAAATAAATTTGTTAAAGCAGCCGAAGAACATTGTCTGTGGATAAATTCAAATAAATCAAACGTAATAATATTTGGACCAAAAAATAACAGGGAAGCTATAAATCAGTCAATAAATTTAGACATAAATGGTGAATACTTAGCTGTCGTAAATGAAGCGAAAAATCTAGGAATATTGATGGATGCGGATTTAAGATTTGAGAATCATATAAACAAATTAATACAACGAGC